CGAAAGTTTCTTCATAAGAACTCTCAATGAGTGAATCGAATCCAGAGAATCCGTCGATTCAGCAGTTCGCGAAGCTTGACCAACCGTAATGATGATCGGAGAAGCAATCGGAGCAGAACTGCTTGAGGCGACGGTGGATTGAAGCGAATGGACTAAATCCAGAGATTCCGCAGATGCGACAGCTCTCGATGCTTGATTGATAACAACTAGAGGAGTAATCGGAGCGGAATATGTCGACGCGGTGGATCCAGTCGATTTTCGCGAAAAACTAAACGATCGTTCGCAATCATCGAAGCTTCAGGAACAGGATCTGAGATCGTTGATGCGACGGATCGAGCTGAAGAACCAAAAGGATCATCACGAGCCTTTGGTGAAGAAATCTTCACTAAATCCGGTGTAGATGCCTGATACTTACAGTGACAGTGCCGTTTCACCATTGAAATCGATTTGAGCTCAAGATTGAAACACAAATCGCATAGGAAACAGGAAATCTGAAACTCGATACGACTACAGAGATGGATTGTGAAGTGAACGAACAAACCAGAACAATCGAGGAAATTCCGATCTCGAAATCAAAAGAGTAGAGCTCGAATCTGATAATGAAGCCAAGAGATGAATATATCAAAGCTTGATTCAGAGAAATTGGAGCTCGTTTTGAAGAGATTGGGGCTCGATGAAGATTTGTTGAAATCCACGCTTGATTGACGGATCAAGCCGAAGAAGATGAATGAACAAAAATCAATCGATGAAGATCGATCGGATTCATGGAAACAGACGAAGCGGAAGATGATTTTGAGCACGAAATCATTCTTTGCTCTGATTCCATATTAGTGAACAGAAACAAGAGGATCTCTCACGAAGGAGATGAAGTTCGAGAGAGAAGATCTGGGAAATATTTCTTCTATTTCTGTTAAAAGAGTAAACAAAGCTATATACATTGTGTTTATATACACATTCAACTAAACCAAGCTAAACCAGCCTAATAACCAATCTATACAAGATTCTAAATCGAGAACAAACCGAACCAAATATACATAATCTAACATTTACCAAGAAGAGAAACCATTGTTGTCGTGAGGTCAACAACAGATGCGTATTACTAATGAACCACTAGATGAGATTTTCAATCAGGAACTAAGGTCGTGATTTGCAATCCGAATATTCAGAAGTTTGTGACTTTACCCGAACCTAAAGCAACCTTCGTTAGAAGCTTTTTTGGATACGATGATATATCGTTTTCTTTCCAAGGTGCCATTGGATTAGGAGAACTTGTTTTCGCACAAAACGGGTTGCTTGATGGAAAATAATTCTTTGTGGTGTATTACGATAGAGCCACAAAAAAAAAAATCAGAAAGTTTAAGGTCGAAGGAGGAGCTGAAGGAGGTTCATATCACTTTGCTCGGACCTTCTTGAATCATGTTAATAGTTCTTTGCTTAAGTAAGGGACAAACAATAGCTGGTCCATTGATTTTTCAGAAACTAGTTGGTTGGTTTTGGTTGTTCAGTCTCTCAAATAATATGTACTAGTCTTATTGGAATTGTTTGTGTCGTCTAGTCTCTCAAGTAGTACTATAGTCGTATTGGGTTTAAAGATATTCTAAATGTTATGTTATTGATGATAGTTTGATGTGTTATATACACAATACAGTTAGGATCTTGCTTAGAATATCTCATAGAGATATCAATATTA